TGGCTCGATGTCATCGGACGGCGGGGATGACGCCATGGCAGATGGCACGGCGTCCTCGGATGATGGCAGGGACGGGCGGGAGCCGGAGGCGAGCAGCAGCGGCGATGAGGGAGAGGCGGAGCAGCGGCGGCAGGGTCAGCAGCAGCAGCAGCAGGAGCAGCGGCGCGTGAAGGGCCGCGGCCAGCGCCAACAGCGGCAGCAGGACTCAGGGGGCAACGTCGGTTTGGGCGACACGGACACGCACACGCGCCAGGAGTCGACAGAGGGCGAGCAGGCGGGCGCAGAGGCAGACGGGGAGGCCGAGGGAAGGCGGCGGCGGCGGTCGCGGCGGCAGGGACAGCTGGAGATGGAGGGGCCTCTGGGGGTGTTCCCAGTGGAGGCCATGCCCGGCTGCGAGGAGTGCGGGTTCAGCAGGGTGAGGGGCCGCTCTCGGGTTTTGCCTGTGAGGAGCTGTATCCGACTGATCCCCCTGTTTGTGCGCCGTGGTTGGGTGACTTTGGGTTACCTGCTGTTGCTTGGAAGCTGCCTGACAGGTCCCCAAGCCCCCCACACCCCCACCCATCCGCCGCCCCGCCGCCCGCAGGCCGGCTGCCGCGAGTGCACCGAGCGCCCCGCCGCGCGCCGCCCCGCGGCGCGGTGGCACCCACACGAGGGGCGGCGCCAGGACGGCGTGCCCGCGGCCCCTGTCTTTCGGCCGTCGGTTGAGGAATTCAGGGACCCGCAGGCTTTCATTGCCAGGTGCGGCCGGCCGCCCAGACACGCGCGCACGGCACACCTCAGGTCCCTCGCCGCGCGGCTCATGGATCCCATCTGCATCTGAAGGGCGCGTTTGGCGGCCGGGCCTGTTGGCCGTGGCTGGCGACGGCTGTAGATGATGTGATCCGCAGCCCCCCTTCATTCGCATGCGGTGCATGCACTCATCTCACCCACGCCGTGTCCTCACGACGCGCGACCTGCCCCCTGACGCACCTTGCTTATGTCCGCCCGACTGCCGCGATCATCTTGCGCCAGGATCTACCCTGAGGCCTCCAAGTGTGGCATATGCCAGGTCATCCCCCCAGAGGGGTGGTGTCCGCCCTTCACGGCCGCCGCCGGCAGCGCACGCGGTTCCGGCGCCGGCGCACTCTCCGTGCGGACGACGCGGCAGCCAGGCAGCCGCTCTGGCCTCGACGGCGGCCGCGCCGCGCCGGCGGCGGGCGGCGAGGCGTCGTTTACAGGGAAGCAGGAGGATGAGCAGCAGCGAGAGCAGCAGACCAGGCTTGGGGGCGCGCCGGGATCCGGCATGGCAGACGGCGTGCGCACGCTCCAAGCGTTCAAGGCCTATGCTGACTGGGCATGTGCCATGCATTTCGGCGGGGAGCAGCAGCAGCAAGGGGAGGCTTTGGAAGGGGAGGAGGGCGGGCAGGGCCGCTCAGCTGAGGAGCAGCCGCAGCAGCGCGCCGGCGGCCGGCAGCGGCGCGGCCTGCCGCCGCAGCAGGCGCAGCCGGCTGCGCGGCGGCGCAGGGGCGGCAGGGCGGAGGGTGCAGGGGCGGCGGACGGCGCGGAGGATGGCGGCGAGGGGGACGATGACGAGGATGTGCCTCGAAGCAGCAAGCGCCCCGCAAGGGCCGGCGCCAGGGGCGCGCGGGGCCTGCAGCAGCAGCAGCAGCAGCAGCAGCAGGAGGAGGGGCCGCGCCCGCCTGCCTCAGGCGGGCGTGCGCCGCACGCGAGTGCCGCTGGGCTGGCGGCGCTCCCGTCGGGCTTTGTGCCGCCGGCGGTGCCGATTGAGGCCGTGGAAGCGGAGTTTTGGGGATGCGTGGAGCGGCCCCAAGGCGGGTGTGGCGTGGAAGCCTTGGCTGCAGACATAGAGGCCAACCCCCGCCCCGGCCCGCCGCCGGGCGCAAAGGGCGCGCGCCCCGAGCACCCCTGGGCCGCCTTGGCACTCTCGCGCCACGCGGGCTGCGCGCTCCGCTACCTGCCCGCCGGCAGCACGGCAGCCGCGGCCGCGGCGCCACGGCTGCGGGCGGGGTCGGCGCTGGCAGCGGACGGGTGGCGGGGCGAGGAGCTGGGGCTGTACTCTATTACATACCTCCATGTGGGGGCGCCCAGGGTTTGTTACGGGTGAGTGACTACTTTTTCCTTCCTCCCACTTTGTGCCCACACACGCACACACGCACACACATATATAAACACATTCACATCACACGGCAGCTGCTCTGCAATTGCGTCTTGAAATGCGCGGCTGTGTGACGGCGCCGCACGGCGAGCCCGTGCACTCAGAATGCTTCACAACGCCAACCGCGCCTCTGCCACCGCATTCGCGCCCCTCAAATCGCGCAGGGTCCCCAGCTCAGCCGCGGAAGCCGTGGAGGCGGCGCTGCAGCAGGAAGCCCACCCAGGCCTCGCCAACGGCGCGGCGCACGGCCATCAGCCCCCGCCCCTGCTCCTCAGCCCCTCCGAGCTGCGCGCGCGCGGCGTCCCGGTCCACAGGGCAGTCCAGGAGGCGGGCAGCTTCCTGGTCGTGCTGCCGGGCGCGCGGCACCTGAGCTTCGACGCCGGATTCAACGTGTATGAGGCGGCTGCGTTTGGCCCGGGGAGCTGGCTGCCGTTTGCATCAGACGCAGCGCGGATAGGCGACCGGGATCAACGGCGCAATTCAGCGGGTTTTGATGAGCTGCTCGTGACGCTCGCCCGCGCGGCGCCCCGCGTTGCCGCCGCGCGCGGCGCCGGCTGCGACGAGGACGGGCGGGACTGCGTCTGCAAGCCGCGCGGCCGCGGCCGCGGCGCGGCTGGCGCAGGCAGTGGCGCAGGAACACTGGCGGGCGCCGGTAACGGCCTGGCGGCGCCCAGGTCGAGCGAGGTGGATGCATCGGGCGGCAGCAATAGCGGCAGCGGGAGCCGGACAGTCAGTCGTGGCGGAGCGAGCGGCAACAGCGGCGGCGACAAGGGCGGCGGCAGCAGCACCAGCAGTAGCGGCAGCGACTCTGGCGGAGACGGCGACGCGACGAGCGAGGAGAGCAGCAGCAGCAGCGACAGCGACGGCGGCAGCGTCAGCAGCGGCAGCAGCGAAGACACGGAGGTGGGCGAGGGCTCGCCCTGCCAGAACGGCGGCGGCGCGGCAACGTCAGACGATGCCGGAGGTGACGAGGTGTGTATCAGTCTGGCCAGTGAAGATGAGGAGGACTGGTCCTGGCTCGGCTGGCGCGGCGAGGCCGCGTCAACAAACGGCAGCGGCGCAGCGGCCGCCGCCGCACCGGCGGCCTCGGACGGCTGCGGCTGCAGCGGCGCGGGCGCCTGCGCAGCGGCGGGCGGCGGGCGCGGCGGCGTTGGCGCCGCGACGGCGGGCGGGTGGGGCGGCGGGGCGCGGTTGAGAGATGCGCCGAAGGCGGTCGTGCTGTATGCTGTGGGGGAGCTGGTGCTGCGCGTGCAGGAGGAGCAGCGGCAACTCGCGGCGGCGCAGAGGTTCGGCGTCCAGCAGGTGGGAGGAGGGCAAAAAGAGGTTGCGCGCCGCTGTTGTTGCTGCCCCGTCGGCGCTCTTTGACGTGTTCGGGCATGGTTAGGCGCGCACTTCCTGCTGCAGCGCCGGTGGTTGCTTGCCAGCAGGCTGTGAGCCCGTACGCCTCGTTCGGCCGCCCATTCCCGCAGGCCCGCCGCGCGGTCGATGGCAGCCACGGTGGCGGGCGGGACAAGTGCTGCTGCGCCTGCGGCCGCGACCTGTTCCTGTCGGCAGTCGCATCGCCAGCGGCGCCGCGCCGCGCGGCGTGCCCCGAGCACGCCGCAGACCTGGGGGCGCCTGCAGCTGAGTGCGTTCTGCTGTACAGGTGCGGCCCGCTCGACCACCTTCATCCAGCGGCCTTTGCCGTGAGGCAGTTGCTCGGCGTGCCGGCTGACCGCTTGTCCACGCCTGGCCACCCGGCCCGCTGGATGGCCGCTATGTCTCGCTGCGTGCGCACACCCTTTGCGATTCACACGCGCGAGTGAGCGGAGCTTGGCCGGTCTTTAGTTGTTGCTTGATCGAACGGTGAAACATCAACAGTACCTCCATCAAGGCGGCCGCCCAATCATCAATCATCACCAGAGACGCCGCTGCCGCGTCGGGCCGACCCTTCCCACGCCGCAGGTACACCGTGCAAGAGCTGCAGGCGCTCTTGTTCCAGGCGGCGGCGCTCTTCCCCGCCTGCGGGCGCCACGTCCGCGCCGCGCAGGCGCGCGCGCATAAGGGCGCGGGCGGCGGCGGGGCGGCGGCGGCGCCGTGGGTGCGGCGGCTGGTGGCGATGGCAGACCGATTGTCAGATGAGCTGCCGGGGCTCTTTGCGCCGGCGGCGGCCATCGGCGCCGATGCCGGCGCTAGCGCCACTGCGCGCGGGCCCGCCGCCTGCTACTGCGGCTGCTCCGCCCCGCCCGGCGCGCGCCGCGCCGCGCTCCGCCACTGCCGCGCGGCGGCGGCGGCGGCGCTCGCGGGGGCGCTCTGCGGGGCGCCGGATGCGGCAGGGGAGGAGGCGGCGGGCGCGCGGCGGGAGGAGCTGCGAGCGGCGTGCGGCGCTGCCCATGCAGCCGTGGCGGCGGCGGCGCGGGCGGCGGCGACGGCAGACCCCTCTCAGGCGGAGGCCAGGCGCGCGG